ACTTGCAAATATCTAGTTGGTCTAATAAAAGTTATCACCTCTACCACTAGTTCTGGTTCCTTTGGCCTGTAGACCAATATGGCTACAACCTGTAACTCCCTGGGACAGTAGTTATCAACCTGACAGTAGTTATCAATACTGACAAGTGCAGGGTGCTGCACTTAGGCAGTAGAAACTAGCAGCACAATTATAGAATGGGAAACTCCCTTCTTGAGAGCACGGAGGCAGAAAGGGATCTTGGAGTCATTACTGACTCCAGGATGAACATGGGTCGACAATGCGAGGTGACGGTTGGCAGGGCTAACCGGACCTTGTCGTGCATCCACAGGTGCATCTCGAGTAAAGCCAGGGAGGTGATCCTCCCCCTCTATGCAACGCTGGTCAGGCCGCAGCTGAAGTACTGTGTCCAGTTCTGGGCGCCTCATTTCAGGAGGGATGTGGACAACATTGAAAGGGTCCAGAGGAGGCCACCCGCATGATCTGGGGACAACAGGGCAGACCCTACATTGAAAGACTGCGGGACCTAAACCTGTTCAGCCTTCATAAGAGAAGGCTGAGGGGGGACCTGGTGACTGTCTATAAACTCACTAGGGGGGACCAGAAGGGTTTGGGGGAGACACTGTTTCCCCTAGCGCCCTCTGGCATGACAAGGAACAGTGGACACAAATTATTGGAGAGTAGATTTAGATTAGATATCCGCAAGAACTACTTCACAGTCAGGTCGGCTAGGAGCTGGAACCAACTTCCATGGGAAGTGGTGCCGGCTCCTACCCTGGGGATCTTTAAGAAGAGGCTTGATGTCTACCTGGCTGGACTCATTTGAGTCCAGTTTTTTTCTCCCGCCCAGGCGGGGGGTCGGACTTGAAGATCTACAAGGTTCCTTCCGACCCTACTTCTATGATTCTATGATAACCTTTTTTGTACCAAGACCCATTTGTAAACATTGATGGCCAGTCCCGACTCAGTACCCATCACTCCCAATGCACTGTGCCGGGGGTGGGAAAGGGAGGCCCCAGGCAGCCCCTTTCAGGCTGAAACTCTGACAGCCTGCGAGGGGAAAATATCCCATGTTTTTCTCTTTTAAACGGAGAATCCATTTTTAAAGTTTGTTCATGACCCGTTCACATACTCCTTTGACCCTCTTCCAGGTGGTGACACACAAGGTTGAGAAACCCTGCTCTGGGAGGCATTATTGACAAACCAATGAAGTGTTGCCAACAGCAGCCCCTAGTGCCCAACTTGCAATACTGCATCATCCCGTGCTTAGAAGGGAGCAAGCTTCTGCCTGCATTTCCCAGAGGCTAAAACTCACAGCCTCCTGGATCTCATAAACAACTATTCAAATGTTAATCTCTCACTGAAAACAACACACATTTAAACCCTGATCTGTGGAATCAAGAAGACCGTTCTATATACAATTCTACTGCGTTTGGGACTCGGGCAGGAAACTTCTAAAAGAAAGGCTAGATGGAACTGCCCTGCTCCCCTCCTGCAGAGGCAGATGGAGAAGCAGCTGTGGCTAGTTTGTTTTCTTTCTGCAGCTCTTCTTGGTTTGAACCCACATTCTCCTCCCAGCAACAGTGGGTCTGCCCTATGCTCCTGTTTCTGGTAGAAGGATATGGGTTTGGACCAGAAAGGGCTGTGGCAAGAGTGCATGCTCTAGTCACAACCTTTTTACTGCCCATCCAGAAGAGTCAGGCTGGGTAAGAGCAGCCCTTTGCACTGCCCAGGTGGAGGGGTCAAGTGCAGGGACACCCAGAGCAAGCTCATTAGTTATGCCTCTGATCCTGCCTGATTTAGGTTTATCAGTAAACCCCAAGACAGGCAGAGAGAGGTGTGCAACAGCACCCTGGCTAAGAATCAATGAGGTAGCACACCAGTGGTTTTCAACTGCAGGTGCCACTACATTCAAAAATGTTTCAAAGGGCTCCCTGTCTCTAAAAAGGCTGAGAACTGCCCTAGAGGTTGTGAATATATCAAATTTAATCAGTAAGCATTTAGTCAGGTTTTTGTTTAGTTCCGTATGTTGAATACCCCAAATACAATGCTTCAAATCCATAACCTGATACCCCAATGACACTTCTACTACCATTTTTGAAATAACAAAAATTAAACACAAACTGGAAGGGACAGAGGGAAAAATATGACCATTTAAAGAAACATTTTAAGATCATTTTAATTATGATCTTATTCTAAATTTAAAAAAAACATGTAATCTGGGGAAAATAAATGTCAACATGCAACAGAATCTTATTTTTGAGGTAGGTAAAGGACAAAGCAATTCAAAAGCACTAGATCAACTTTTGAGTGGCTGGGCAAAAACAATCAGCTTATTTCAGATCTCTTCCTACCCTCATACATCTCCTAACTGAACTACAGCTAAGAGATTGCCTCCCTTAGTTGCTGGAAGTCTTGTCAAAAGAGAAGCCACTAACTGAGGGGAGACTAGCCAGTCTTGCACAGAAAGTGGGAAGGAAGGAAAAGGCTAAAGAGTAACAAAGCAACTTGTTAGTATGACAGGTAACCTTGCAGTAGGGTTACACCAGGAAGAGCTACAGAGCAGGTGCAATAGCAAGGACTGTGCCTCCCATGTAAGTTAGTACCAAAGTAGTTTAAATTATGGCAGGGGAAAGGGTTTAAGCCTTTCCTGGATCTAGTGCAGCAGCAGTGGTACTCCTCGTGCCTGCAAGGCGTAAGAAAAACTTGTGGATGGACAATGTTTTAACACAATCCAGTGGTTTGATCCAGTATAGGAAACACCATTCCTTTAGTCACACCTCAGGTTTTGCCATCTGTATATCAAAAATAGCTCTAACTGAGCTCACCTGCAGCTTGTTTAATCTTTAGAGAAGTGACTGAAGGTCCCTGAATAGACACAGGGTAAAAAACCATAATCAATTACTTTGTCTCATGTCCCGATAAAAACTGGCTATTACACAGGTGCACATTTTAAAGCTTTTTTGGCCTGAGTTTTCTTGAGTTATTAAAAAAACAAAAACAAAACAAAACAAAACCAAACCAAACCAGAGCTAGGCTGGTTAGCTAACTCTTGGTGTCAGTTGAATTTCCAGCTCTTCTTCACTGTACTTTGAAGACAGTAAAGAAAAGCAATGGACAATGAGTCAGACGCACAGACAATATTTTACACTCATTTTTGTATATGAAAGCTTCTTTCAAGAGTAACTAAGTGCTTTCATCCTAGTTTCCAGTAAAAATGTTAGTTACCTAAAAAAAAAAAAAAACACATTAAAAATTTTATTGAAAACTAATATACAAATAGTAATTTGGTCCCAACAAGACACGCTGGAATCAGATTTTCCTATTTCAAAATAAAGCATCATCAAGGGTTTCCTTGGTGCTGCACCATTTGTGCCATCTCATAACGTGCAGAATCAGCAGAAGTTCTTTAAGGAAGTGAACAAGAAATGTAACCATCATGAATGCACATCCTTTCAATTGCTCATTTACCCATCCCTTGGGTAATAAATAGTTAAAACAGATTGTAGTTCAACAGCCCCACTTAGTTTAGGGATGGAAGGCAGATCTCACTTTCCCTCATCAATTTAAGAAACAAATGCTTTTCTCTTTTTCAAAAACAAACAAGAACTCTGGAACTCAAACTAGATGCTTGCTACTTAAAGCTGAGCTGCTTTACATACAAGATCTCTCATCTTATGGTTTATGCCACTAAGGAATCCAAGATTTGACAAGCAGAGTAAACTAGCTCAGGGGGCTCTGCACAGCACCAAAGAATTTGAAGTGGACACATACATCTGAACAGCAACCTTTGGTACAAATGGGATATGCAAAGTTGTTAAAACCATAGAAAAAAATCCCATTCATACTAAGCATATACAATGATTAGTTTGTCTGCAACTTAGCTGAATAGCTCTGAATGAAAAAAAACCTTGCAAGTCTAAATGGGAAAAAAAATGCTGTTTGGATTTCACTGGCCTCTTAAGGTCCTTCACATTCCTCTGCCATGGTTTTGCTGTCTCTTCTCCATCAGATTTGTTTTAGGCCAAAACCATTGTCTTAGCCCAGTCTCAGCCTTGAACCTTTTCACAGCACTACAAGCTTGAAGAAGATACCTATTTGGGAGCATCACAGCATCCTCTACCCACACAGTAAATAATGCTTTCCCTCAAACTCCCTATGTTATATGCACTAGGTTTCTCAAATGCTGAACAATTTTAAGTGATTTGGTAGGTTTAAGCAACACACAAGAAATTTTGCATATTACATGACAAAGAGGTTTTCAACCTCAAACAGGAAATTAGATACAAGAATGGAAAAAAGGTGCACACATTTGTCCAGTACAGAAATCAGTTATTTCAGTGGCAAAATTTTACACCAGTTTCTAGCTTACTTCAATAATGATTCAAGTACCAGAACAATGTTAGTGTTACAAAAACTTTTGTTGATATACGAAACAAAGTTCTTTTTCTTGGGCAAGTACAGCCAGCCAGAAAATGGAGTGGAGTTGAACAGACGTGGAGTTCCTCAACCAGCCTCCTTATGCCCAAGTCCAAAGGGTTCTTTTCTGAACAAAAAGCTACCACTACCAGCCAAAACAGTAGAAACACTGGCTTCAAAAGAAAAGCTCAATTTAAAAATGCGTATTTTGACAAAAGTTATTAAACAGAAGAATGTCCAATCACAAAGGCTATCAAGTTGGTATGTAAGCAGAAACACATAGCCACTGCAATGAATCCAAAGCTCTGTCATGGAAAGAACTACTGTACCTGTTTCTTTCTAGTGCAAGTACAAGTCAAGGCGAATAGACCGGCATGGTAAGTGAGCAGGGTTCCCAACATATCCCACATCCCCTGCTAGTAGAAGGAAAATTTTCCTTCAGATATCTTCAAGGAACCCCAGGAATGGTAACAAACAATAAAAACTTATCTTTACTGACTAATGGAAGAGGGGGTTGATAAAAAGAATGATAAAAAGCTATTTACTATTTGTAATGTGTTCCAATATTGTATTAATGATTCCTTTCCTACAATACTGTTCAGTGGCATATTCTTCTTATGAAGTTCAGGTAATGCTACATGCATCATCTGATTCCCCAAATAAACTCAGTATAATGCTGATTAATTATGTGTTCTTCTAGTTTAGATAAACCTTCACTTTGTTAAATTTAGAGCCAAATCTTTTTGCCTTGCCAGTGTAAAGGAGCCCACACAACTGATGTTTGGGATATTCTTGTATGGCAAGCAGGATTTGGCCTTTGCTGCAACAGCATTTATCAATAACTCAATTAAAGGTGCTTCTCTATATCCAATTTGCACATTATTTTCCTCAGATTAAAAACCAAAGGCGCCAAGTCATTTAGCACCAGTCACCTCAGAAACATTATCCGAGGCCATGCCTGCTTTTCCAATCCACTGCAAAGAGCAGCAGCTCTAGATCAAAATCCAAACTCGTCTACTGAGAATATCCATCTTCTACACTTCTGTTTGGATAGGTCAGAAAAAACCAAACTATTTTTTTCTTTTTAAACAGTTTTTTGGGCCAGTGAGCAAGTAAAATTAAATAGCCAACTTTTCAACTCAGTCACCAATTTTACTTCCTAGTAACAGCAAAAGCACAGGTTACTAGTGTAGTTCTAACTTCTGTTTCCCTACCACGCTGCAGAACAGTAGTTTTCTAGGCTTGCATTTTAAGGTTGAGCTCAAGCCAGTCACAAATGAAGCAAAAAGTACAGAACTGCTTTTTCACAAAGGTGGCTTGTCTACCTCAGATTCAACTCAAAAGATATCTTCTGCTTTCAAAATATTTGTGCAATCCCAAACAAGCTAGCACAGCAAGCAAAGCATACACCAAAATCTTAATGGCTCAGCAAGCATAAGGGGTGGGTTGATCCCCTATTACATTCAGTATCTGCTGTGTACTTCTCACCAAAGGCAACTGCTAAAAGGACATTTCCCAATAAGCCAGTTGGAGAACTCCTTCCCTGTTCCAAAGTTCATGGGATTTCCTTGTAAAAATGTTATTGTTATTGGACTATAAAAGCTTCTCTTCCATTTCTTAGAGCTGTGACTGCCCAAATCCACATTCTTCTGATTGTTACCATAAAAACAACACAACCCAAATAATAACACTTCAGATCCACATCTCATACCAAAAGCGAAGAGAGAATTAAAACCAGCCACAAAAACCTTCAAAAATGTGTACATTTCAGTCTGCAATCTGGCTTCTACAATTCCATTTCCTCTTCTGCACACCCAGGGGCTCCCAAGCTAACATACAGATCTGGCGACATCACAGTCCGTTGTGCTTCAGAGAATGTTTCAGTCTGTGGGTGGAAGGCAGCTCCACATGCTGACTGCTTAGCCTGGCACCCTTCTGTTTCCTGATGCTTGAAGTTTTTAGCAACAGAAACAGACTTCAGTTTGTCTGTGAGGAATTCAGGGAGAGGTTTCCAAAGCACCAGCTCCATTGAGGGACGGCTCCTAGAATGGATGGAGTCTTAGTTTAATCAAAATTCCTTCAGTTACAACTGTAAAATGGAGAGGACCCATTTCATTCTACATCAGCACAAATCTGTTTCCCAGAGCGCACATACTAGTATTTCACCCGGTCTATTTGGTGGGGAGGGAGGGGAAAGATCATTCCCTTTCAGAGACTCTCTCACAACACTTTTTTCCTGACATTAATCCCAATGTTTCCTCTTTCTTAATTTCATTGTATTGCTGCCACTCCTAATACCACAAAAAAGGAGGGGGAAAAAAGGCTTTTCTCCCATGGTACCAGATATGACCACCATTGTTTACATCACAAGTTTCCCCTCAAGGCAGATTGTTTACATTAGGATATGGGTTAATGCAAGGAAGTTTATAGTTTAAATGGAAACTTTTTACTATAAATTGAAAATAAGTGTCCTATTTTTAACCAAATAAAAGATCCTGTTGCACAACACTGGCTGCATCACAGAGAAGATCAAAGGGTCTCATCACAAATACTTTTGGATGACAGTGGCTTCCAAGCCAAGGCTTAATGACAGATGGGACCCCTTCTCATTTGCATGCCTTACCTACGAAGTACCAACATTTTCCCCACAACTTACATGGACTCTATTATTTTCTTTGTCAGGACTTCACCAAAATCCCTCTTCATCCCTTTTTTAAGGGCATCAGACAGGACAAGAGTGGGCAGATTGCTAGTACGTCCATCAGCATGAACATCATCATCTTCATCAATTATCCTAGAAATGGAGAGGAAAGGGGGAAATAAAGTATTGAGTACACAGCTATCAGTCATATCAGTCTTGAGTAAAAGTATTTCTATGCTGTAGAGCATTGCACAACACTGCCATATCATAAAAGAGAAGTACTGAATACTATTCAGTGGTAAATCTAGTTCAATCACAAGATATAGAAGGACTCTTAGAGTAGCAATTTCACCTTAGCTCTTTATCATTCATGAAATCCTTCATATTCAGATTTCTTGCTAGAGATTAAAATGGCACAATGCTTGATCATCTAGGACCCATTACAAAGACTTTCTTTTATGCAGAACATTTACATATATTTAGATATGGTAATAAATGTGCATATAAGCAGATGTACATCAGCACAGCATGTGAGAATCTGGAAAGGGCAAAAGAACAGAATCTCCTAAAAAGTTCCTGAAAATTCAAAAAAACCCTCTATTAATAAGGCTGACACAAAAATGCCTGAACACCCATGGACAAGAACACTGAGTACCCTTAAACTTAGGCCATTGAGGATAAGAAAATTGTGTCTTTTGTGCACATGTTGCATTTTAACATTGTTAAATACAGTTTGCATAATGCTCAATTTTTCTACAACATTTTGCAGAGGGACACTATTTGCTCTTTGCTCTGACCATTAAAAAAAACTTCACATGAACACAATTTTTCAAGTATCTGACATTTCCTTCTATCACGGGAGTTACAGTACTTTACAGGCTGAAGCTGACAGATGTGAACCGCTGGTATAGACCACACAAATCATGGACAAGTCAAGTTTGTTTTCTGTATTTACTTCATATGGTTTACTGCTTTAACTAACAACTTATTATCAGGTGTGACTTTTTATCAGGGCTTTCTATTAAGGGAAGTTTCACTATCATAACAGCCAGAGAGAAATGATGAGCCAGAAGCTGACATACTCCCCTGGGACTTGGGGAAACAAAGGTTACATTCTCACATCTTCCAGACTTCGTGTGTGACATTGGGCAAGTCATATTTCCCATATTTCTCACTTCTTCATCTGTAAAATGGGTTTAACAGCTCTACTGTACCTCACAGAAGCATCAGAAAGATAACTACAATAGAGACAGAGGGACTCACACTACAGCAATGGGGAGTCATACAAGAACTTAAAGAGGATAGTCTCAATGTCTTATTTCCTAAACATAAAGCATGTTTACATAAACACTACTGTTTATCACTGTGTTCGTCTTCCCTTTCTAATTAATATTTCCTAAATAAAGCCTGGGCAGATACAAGGTTTTAGAATGCTTCGAAATACTGGCTCTTAAGATCATATGCTCTCTGTCTCAGGGCAAAACTTCCACATAGAATCCCTGTAGAATTCAAGCAAAGATCAACGATGTACATAGCACATTCTCAGAGTGCTACTCAGGGCAGAAGTCAAACTCATAAGCCATAGGTGCTGCTCAGACTCAATAATCACCAACTTATGCAAACAGCAGGCTGCCTACAAACACTCTTGCTCAAAACAGCGCAAGTAATTTTCTCTCACAGCAATTCTGTTTAAGGCACATTGTAAATTTAGCTTCTATGCTGAATAACTTTGAAATGTAAATACTCCAGATGGACACGGAGTGACTGACAAGTTTAATTCAATACAGATAGGACGGCATCAATTCATGAATGATAAGAATTGTAGTTTGAGCCCCAGACGTGCCAAAGTTTCAGTAACCACAACATTTTGATGTCACATGATTTTGAGAACGGTGCAACATAGGTGACACATGCCTCCCAAGGCTGGGGCCAGGGCGACTGCCCACAAGAGGTAGCAGCAGTGTCAGGGGTGTGGTGGCGGTGAGCGGGAACCGCACTGACATCTGTGGCAAGGGCAGGGACTGATTGCAAGCCACCACAGTGGTGTCAAGCAGCAGGGGGATCCCCCATGGCAGCCAACTGCCAACCAGAGGGGTCCCCCCACAGCTGGATGTGGAGCCCAGAAGTGCCAGCGGCACTTCTCGGGGGGTGGGGGGTGTGGAACCAGCACTCCACCTGCCCCCCTTGCCTGTCACCTAAGCCGAGAGCGCTCACTCCGGGGGGGGGGCACCAGCGCTCTCAGGGGGTGCGCATGTGCACTCCCTACGCATCGCCTATGAGGTGTAAAGTGATAACCTCCTATTCTAGTGATCTCAAATTTGGATCACTAACACCACCCCAAATATCCATGTGGCATAAGTTTTCAGGATGATCTAAACCTGTATATGTGTTTCAAAGCACTCGAGAAGTGAGCTACACAGAAAACTAGTCTCAAACTTATAATGGTGCTGGCACCCCACTACAATAACCTAGCAGGTTGTAGTTTCTTTCAACATCATGAAAGGAAAAGCTAGGCAAACCCAGTCTACTCGATCCCTGCATTTACCTGTCCTCAATTTCCTGAAGCTTCCTGCGGGCAACCTCGTACTGCTGTTCCCCCATTGTCTGATCCATTTCTTCACAGGAAATTTCTAACATGCCAGCTTCAGGAAGGCTACCACCGCACTGACCTGCTAACTCCCCAGCTGCCTGCTGACCTGCACAGAGAATCCACTCTTCAGGGCTGGGAGTCAGAGGGCAATGCTTGGTCGCAGTCAGTCTCCTCTTCCTCACAGGACAGCTGAGATACAAACAAATTTATAGTTGGCAAAAGGATATTTGATATCGTGCAGCAAAACAGTAAGATCATAGTCTGTCGCATCTGCACTTCTGCAGAGTTGGTAGACAGTGAAAGCAAAGTCTCTCAGACAGCACATAAACATCGAGTCAAACTTCCAGCCTACACAGGTAGCATTCTTACGTGAAGTTAACCACCATATGTCCAGGCAGATTTTGATTGTGTACGCTGCAATTAACTCAGGGTGCTCTTTTCAGTTCAGGAAAAGATCCTGAAGAACACCTCCCACCCAAGGCTTAACGAACCCAGCCCTGCCCCAGAACACATCTCCAGCCCCGCAAAACAAGACAGATCAACTGAAAATAAAAACAGGTTTCAGAAAGCCATTTTAATTTACCCATCTGCTTCCTCCTCTAGTTTGTGTTTCTTTCCGCAGCGAACAGGAGCTCTGCAAAGGAAAAAATGAACAGCTGGTGACTTCGTATTGCTCTGCATCTCTGCACAGAGACCAGAGTCAGGACAGGCGAGTCAGCTGTGCCGCAGCCACGTTCTCCTCCCGGGCAGGTTGGGTCCGCGACCGGGGACCAGCTCTCGGGGGCTTCGTCCCACACCCGCGCCGAGCTCCACCCACAGCGAGGGGACGCGGCTCCGCCAGGACCGGCCGGTTGGCAGCGCACGGCTCCGCGGGCACTCACCGGGCGCGGGCTGCGGGCGCCGC